AATAAGATATTTCAAAGTGGATATTTCGATGCATGTAATTGTCTACCATCTTGCATAACCATTTCCTATGATGTTGATGCATCCCAAGCAGAATATGATCTGCTGAGTTCGTGGTCGAGATCAAAGCTCCGCCAAACCTTTGACTTTGAGAAGTATTACCACAATTTTTTACATATTTAAGATTAAGAAGAAAAGAGAAGCTGTAAACAATAATCTAATGGACGATTTTTAAATGCATTTTCTTGTAGTTCAACATTTAGCCGTGTTACTGTATCATTCAAAGACGAACATTTCACTGTAAGAAGACGGTCAGAGTTTCGTAGCCTAGAAGACTTTCTCGCCAGCTCTGGCGGCATATTCGGTCTATTAATGGGAGCGTCTCTTCTGAGTGTGGTTGAATTGATTTACTTCTTCACGCTTCGTCTTTTCTTTATGGAAAACGAACGACAAGTAGTCAAATATCGTATGCGCAAAAAATAAATGCGAATCTTCACAATTCTCCCATAAAAGCAGATTGGAGTGTAGTTCGTAGAAGATGAAATTCAAGTATTTAAACATTTAGTGGCGACAAATCAAATTCCAATCTTTTTGTGCGAATTTGAATTCGATGTTTAGTACACATTGTGTACATATGTTTACTTTGTGGATTTAGAGCATTTCTTCAGGATTGCACATCTCATATACTACATAAAACTGCAAATGTCTGTCAGAAATCGTATAATGTAATCAATCAAACGTAAACAATCAAATTTTTCAAAGTTTCCATAAAACAGCACATAAAAAGTAAACGTCAATAATTATTTAAAACTGTATACAATATCATACTACTAAAATAGTCCAAGAAACACATCAAATATATAGAATTAATTTTCCTCATTATCTCTCTATTTAGAATAATTACTTTTTGCCTCGGAAAATGTAAATTATGTAATTGTCAGAGCTCGCCAAGACATTTTTAAGGCTTAAATATTTTTATGCAATATTTGTGACGCGTGTAGTCCAAGTGGATATTAATATTTGTTGTCGAACTCTGAACCTTGAACGGGCTGGTGCTGAAGCGCTCTCGATAGTGGGACTCAAATAAAAAAATACAGCATAATGTCGCAGCATTTATTTCCCAATCCATGCCGTTTTCTTGAATCGTTTCATTTGCTTCTTTTGTTCAGGTGAAACACGGAATATAAAATAATAAAATATTTCGATGACGCTTAGTACAGATGCACCCATACACAATGAAAATAAATTACCACAGTAGGCAAAAAATCCATATGCACTGTATAGCTCAGAACGTTTAATGGCTCTGAAGTGTGGGTCTTTGAATGATATCGATATTTGGCTAAATGATGAACTGAAATAAGACGAATTTTTGGAATTATTCCATTGATAATAAAAATCATCAATATTGAACAGTATCTCTCTTGATGCCTGTCCAAAATCGAGCTAAAAGTCCTTTAAATGAGTGGAGTGGGGTGATAACATCTAACATAAATTGGCCAGTGGCCATAGTTCTCACTTGTCCACATCGATGTGCCCATTCATTGCAGATCTTCGCCATACTTCGTCCAAATGAAAATTCGACTCTGACACGGTGACATCATAGGAAATTGAATTGCATGCTGGCAAACACATGCATGAACGTAAAATGTCACGATGGATAACGTCACTTTCGACATTTGTACAACACTGAATTTTGGCGCTCCCACATATTTTAATCTGGTCATTCCCTTTCAATTTTGAAAAATTAATAACTCATTAAGAACATAGGTAATGTATGTAAGAAAATGTATTCTTTTTTACTCACTTGCCATTGAAAATTTCACACAACCACATTTGCCCAGCGTGTAATTGGACAAGCATTCCAGTTCACAATTGACCTGCGTGTATTTGCGAAAGAATTTTAAGCTTCGTTCGGATTGGAAAAAACATTGCCGCGTTTGAGGGTGATACATGCGTAAGCTATCGGCTGAAACAACAACATTTGGAGTGACCAAAAAATTGGCCGATTGTTTGGGTGCGATGTGAAAGTGTTTTTTCCAAACTTGAGGTATTTCAAAGGGTGTGTGGAATGAAACTTTGAACCCCTGTGTTGGTCCCGTACACAAATAATCGCGATTCCTTTCCATTACTTTTAGTATTACTTTGAAACTGGAAAATTTTCCAGTGCTAAACGTGCGATATGGATATTCGTCGGTGGGTTTTGTGTGATTGATCGGTTCGTAACCAGTTTTAAAGTGCCAATGTTTTGCAATTCGGTCTTGTTTTAGTTTTGTCAAATCCCCTGCGGTACTATAAGCCATTTATATTTTTAATTAAAAAGGTAGCAAGGCTGTGCGATAGCATTGTTTAGCAGCAATTATTAAATTTTTATAATAAGGCGAAGTATATTCAATGCTTGCTGCTAAGCAATACTAATGCGCAGCCTTGAAATATCGATTGTCTTTAGAGAGTTAACTCTTTGACAATTGTCACACCAATATGCCAGCCAAAATGTGTTGCAATTTAGAAAAGTGTGAAACGACAACAATTCGACCAAATTTTAAGCTGATGGAATGAGATCAAATTACGTTTCCGTGGTAGTTTCGCTTGGACCCAACAAATTGAAGGCAAAGCATATGCCTTCCTCTACGAGAATGTCGTTAAAATACTCGTAGCAGGTTGAAAAACGTCCCATCATGTTACAGGCGACAATATTCTCCTCGAATCCTGATGCAATTTCTTTGATTGAGTCCACAAATGATTTGTCTGCATCATTTTCCGGGAACTTTTCCAGAATATTTTCAACAAAGAAATCATCACATATCTGTGCAGCGGCTCTCAATTTGATGAGACTAGAACAAACACGGTTGCAGGTAAATTATTGCTAGAAAAGTTGTGACTGTTCAAGTGATTTACTCTTCGTTCGTGATATTCTGCCCATTATCACCATCCAACTTCAATATGGTGCGATATGCGCGTGTGTAATTGAACTTGTTCAACGATATTTTTGCCAGTGGACAAACGGTCATTGCTGAAAACAATTGAAATGTTTGATACCGTTTTCGACGACATAAGAAATGATTATTCTGGGAAACCATTACCTGGAAATGGGATTTTTGAGATCGAATCGAGATAATGACTGTAGCTTTTGATCACTGGAGTATCATTCCATTTCATCCACAATTCGTGAATTGAATGAGTACATAAATATACCGAGAGTCCAATAGAAACCACCCACCAAATTCTGACTCGAAAGACAACCAGAGTGAATTAGGAATTTTTTGTTTAAGTAAAAAAATTAATTGTGAAAGGTATTCAATTTGATAACTCGATATAATTTCAATCAGATTCATTCTGCAAGCGATTGGATTGATCACCCCAATCAAGGGAACGTTATTTTGCAATTAAAACTAAAAAGAGATTCAAGATCCAAGAACAAACCTTTCAATTGATCGACAATTTTCCAAAGTAATGTACCGTAGTCCATGGATGGAACTATTTGAACAAAACTTCATCAGTGTGTCTGCCTAAAAATGAGGAAACAAAGGATTTAACATGATTTGCAAGTATTGAAAAGTTTTGTGAGAAAGAAACACAATTGATACAAATTCAAGTTGAAAAAGTCTGTGAAAACTTACACAAGTCTTGGAATATGCCTTCAATTTGTTTGGCAAACTCCGAGGTTTGGAATTGCTTTGTTTGGTAGTTACTTTGGAGATTGGAAACATTGCCCCTCGATTGAACATTGCTTAAAATTGTTTGAACGAACATACGATTTTCTGTCAAATTCAAATAATTTTGATTATCGTTCAGTATTGCAGTATAGTTAATTAAGATTTCAACGGAACCACTGTTGCGAATAAATATTCTAGTTATTATGGCGAATGGGCATTGCATGGGCAGTATTTATATCGAAAAGTTTATTGAATATTAATAAACGATAATCACAGTGCATTAAAATATTTCCACTTTTCACAATATCCCAGATAATGCATTTTTAATGACTTTTGATGAATGAATAACAATGTTTATTCAAATATTTTTTTTAGAATACAAATCGAATCAAATCAAATTAAAATCTTTCCTCCCATTATTATGATACATATGGCCCATAAACCCATACTCAATTAGATATGTTTACTTAATTGGTAAGAATTATGCCCACTCCTTCGCAAAAGTGTCATTGATAAACTACCGAAAGCGGTTTCTTTACGCGTTTCCGTATTGTTACAGATAGCCGCCACGTACCAGGCAAGTGATTATCTTTGTTTTCTCTCTGTTTTGTTAACATACTCCTAAAGTAAAAGTAAAAGCAATTATTCAGCTCGGGATATGACAGGAAATCACAATTCTGATAATTTTTACTTATAAGAATGATGATTAATGCTATTTAAACTACCTAAAAATTAATTAGTTTTAATCAGATTTAAATGGAATAATTTTTTTGGATAATTATAATTATCAATATAGGAAGCACTAGTTCGATTTTCCATAATAAGTTTTTTTAATTGCACCACCATCGAAGAGATATACTAAATGTCAATTGAGATTATGTTCGGGTTCTGTGAACGTAAATGTATTGTAATCGTTAGGAAAAATCGCAGCAAACCTTTTTTCAATCGATTTTCGATGGAAACGAATTCCGGTTAGTTCGCTTTCGGTACACTATGATTTGAGATACATAAAATATTCAACACTCCAATTCAGTATTTTATTCACATCATTTTTTACACTCTGAAGTTGTTTGGAGTACTAATGAATCTCTTTGTGAATATGTTACACTGAATCATAGTAATTAATTTCAATTCATTATGAAGCTCAACAAACTTCTCAATGCGATTACGTTATGTAGTATTCAATCTTTGATTTGTATGATATTTCTTCAGTAGTTTTTCTTTATTTCAACGCGTCTCGTTTACTGAGAAAGGTAGAAATCTTCGAATATTAGGGATAAAGCGAAATATTCAAAACCAGTTGAGCGATTTATTTCAATGCTTCAAAAGTATGACGACTCTCAGAGCAATATGAAGCAATCTTTCATTGATGTTCAACCGATCAAGGGAAAATTGACTCCACTAAATCGATCGGCAAAAAAGAAAGTGAGAACTCCAAATCATACCTATGTCAATACTCGCAATCGCATTTAATCTCGTTTCTATTTTCTAGATTGTTCGTTCAGTAAATGAATTTTGTAAAAATAGTTCGATCCATGGTATCCGATATTTTGTTGAGAAAATTCACTTGATCGAACGGTAATTATACAGGATTTTATAATCAAAAATATAGGAGAATGTAGAAGGATAGAAAAAAACCGCCAAAGTAGAATAAAACAAAAAGTTCTTGAGTGTTTCTAACCCATAATGTTATTTATTTGTGGTTTCAAAAATGCATATTTGCTTAACAAAAATGTTGATAATGACGATACATTTGCATTTAAACTTGGTACAGTTGACAATCTCTCGATAATTCTAATTCACGATACTTCACATCCCAAATGCAGATTGTAGTTCATCGGAAAAGGATATATAGATAATATGTGTAAAAAAATACCTCAGATTGAAGATGCTGCTCCCATATCTTTCACACGTGGTGTGCACAGTCATGATATGCGTGCATAGAAGATTGAGTAGTATTAAGTCAAAGATGTGTAAATAGAGTAAGCTTTGAATAAACAGTGAGTCTTTTGAATAACCTCCTCTTCAACAACAGGTTAAGGACCCAGGAGAATTTCAAGAACTACACTTGAATATTCAAAAACAGTCAACCAGTCCTATAAAATTTAAATTTACGAACTAAAATGAAGAATTTTTTTTAGTAGCAAACGAACTTCATCCGCATCGGGACCGAATTCAACCGAAGAGCGACAACAACCAACAGCACCACTAGCCGCAGCGGAAGCGTGCTCTGCCCATAACCTGTTAAGATGAGGTTTGCCGAAAGACTTTCTGTTCATTCAAAGCTTACCCTATTTATACATCATTCACTTAGTACTACTTAATGTTCTATACACGCTCATCATGACTATGCACCACGACCACTAGTCGTGTGTGTTGTTTATTTCCTTACCATGTCGCACGAATAATGTCGTACCCCACGATCATATGTGGTGTCTGTCCATTGGCCATGACCACATAGTCGTGCCTAATAATCAATAACCTCTGCTTAACATTTTCTGTGCGACAAAATTTGTTTCCGCAAAATTCGATCGACGGACTCATCGATCTACAATTATAGGGTGAAGAAAATTAATCATCTTAGACGTCAGAGCAATGAGACATACTGAAAAAGAATGTAATTTGACAGTACTTCAACACAAGGGTAGCAACGATATTTCTCGATGTGATATTGTACTTCTAAAAGAATGCCAAAAATTCATTCACATTCCCGATACTTAACTGTTAACTAGAACCTAGTCACCATAGACAAACAAATCTTGCACAAGGGAGTCTTATTCTACATTTGTTGTCTCTTAATCTCAGAATTTGGTGGATTGTTGCACTCGGACTGTCCGTCTATTTATGTGTTGGCCTTATTCACCATCTGTGGCACAAATGGAGAGAAAACCTGATCATTATAAGTTTCGACCATCAACCATTTCCAGTCGGAAACATTCCATTTGCAGCCATAACGATCTGTCCAATGACAAAAGCCATCTCAAAAAAATTCAACTACACTCATGTATACCGCTCCATGTTCAAACTTGATGGAGAACATTCACAAACCGTTACTGAAGAGGAGTATGTAAACCATTTATGTGATTTGAGATTCATTTGACATTTTCAATGCTTCTACTAATCGTTTATTAATTGATTTTAGATTGGGACTGATGAAAGCGCTCAGCCTGATATGTGACGATTTTATTGCTAATGATGTGTTTGATTTTTTTCCCGACAAATACTCGGATGATTCGATTTTTACCATTTTCCAGAACCTAATGCCTAAATTCGAAGAGACAATGGTCTTCTGTAAGCTGTTTGATAATGAATGGACAACTTGTGAAAATCTTCTATTTCCAGTGGTAACCGGAGAAGGACTGTGCTATACATTGAACGCAATTAGTTTTAATGAGATGGTCACAAATGAGTGAGTTGGATGGATAATGTCTAAAAAAGCGGTTCACATTTCCTTGGTCTTGAAAAATAAGACATTCTGTGGAATATCACAGTGTGCACTGTGCAGTAACAAAAGCTAAATTCCATTCAAATTTTATCACATTTTTACGCTAAATGAATTTGTACCTCATTTTCCAAAAACCAAGAAAATGTTAACTCATGGTCTTTTATGGTAGAAAAGAACATCAAATCTAAAAATGAAACGAATTTTCACTAAGATTGAGAGTTAACAGTGCAGTTAATGATTATCAATTTCTTTCGTCCGTATGCGAACGGTGCAGTGCGACTGCTTCTTCTTCTTAACTAACACATCTATACATGTAAGTCGCCATATTGGTTATAATGTTCACAAATGGCACTCAATACACTGTATACATTTTCAATATGGCCGCGCCCATTGTGTACGACAGTGTGAAGAAGAAGAAGCAGTATTATAAGAAACTGTGTATGGGTTTACATTGGGATGATTTCTTTCAGAACCGCTTCAGCCGTTTTGAACTTGACTCGTAATAATGAAACTCCATCGAGTTGGGACTATGAAAATGGCTATGATGTTCGTAAAGATGTGGAACCATATCCTTACCGTGTTTTTGGTATGAGTAATTTATCTCAATATTGCTTATTCAATAATGGCAGCTTTTCTGTCCTTTTTAAATTCATACTTGGTCCACAACCAAGTAGTAATTTGCTCATTTTTTTTCCTCCAGGCACTGGCAAACAAGCCAGTTTTTCCATATTAATGCGAAGCATAAATCAGGACGTTGATTTTCTGTGCGGTGGGGCGAGTCAAGGTTTTAAAATTACACTCCATGCGCCAAATGAAAGACCTCAAGTGTTTAAGAACGTTTTCTACGTTTCACCTGGACAAACGGCTTTGTTTGCAATTGATCCACATTTAATGACGGCATCACCAATCCTGAAAAGCTACAGTACTGTTGTATGAATGTGAACTTTGACTTTATCGTTGGATCACAGTGCCATTTAAATGGCACTTTGATTATTCTCAATACATACAAATAATTTTATAATTTAAATTGTAGACAAGGCAATGCTATTTCAATTCCGAGCGTAAATTACGATTTTTCAAACAATACACGCAACAGAACTGCGAAGCAGAATGCTTGTCTAATTTTACAAAAATCGAATGCGGTTGCATCAGGTTTTCAATGCCAAGTATGTCATTGATTAAGAGATTCGGTTGATTGCTTTGATTGAACAATGAACATATCATATAAAATATTGTTGCAGGATCTGTGAAAGAAGATACAAAAATTTGCGGGCCTGCAAAGATGCGTTGCTTGAATCAAGCGGATAATAAGATGTTTCAAAGTGGATATTTCGATGCATGTAATTGTCTACCATCTTGCATAACCATTTCCTATGATGTTGATGCATCCCAAGCAGAATATGATCTGCTGAGTTCGTGGCCGAGATCAAAGTTCCAACAAAGCTTTGACTTTGAGAAGTATGAGCATTGAGCATTGAGCACAATTTTTTACATACGATACTAAGATTATGTATTATACTAAGATTACGAAGAAGAGAGAAGCTGTAAGCGATAATCTAATGGACGATTTTTAAATGCATTTTCTTGTAGTTCAACATTTAGCCGTGTTACTGTATCATTCAAACACAAACATTTCACTGCAGCAAGGCGGTCAGAATTTCGTAGTCTAGAAGACTTTCTCGCCAGCTCTGGAGGCATATTCGGGCTATTAATGGGAGCGTCTCTTCTGAGTGTTGTCGAATTGATTTACTACTTCACGCTTCGCATTTTCTTTATGAAAAACGAACGACAAGTAGTCAGATATCGTACGCGTAAAAATCAAACGCGAATCTTCACAATTCTCCCATAAAAGCAGATTGGAGTCAGTGGCGTGCAAAGCATGAGGCATGTGAGGTATTTGCCTCGGGCGGCGGTTTTCATGGGGCGGCAGTTCAAAAATCCAAATAATAATCATTTTAATTTCTATACGATCAAATTACGCACTTATTTCTCAATGTAAATTGTACATTCAAATGACTGTATGACATAAGACAATCGTGTTGAACGTCAAAGTTTTCATTATATTTTGAAATTCAGACTCGAAATTTTGAGATTTGAGAATATCAATACCGGAAGACGTAACGACGATGAACTGTCGTTGTCGATGTTGAGAACCGTATTTGGATTTTTCCAAAATTTAAACTTACATATTCTTTGTTTGGAAGATCAACAATGGATCGGATTATAGTCAAAATTCAATTATTACTGTGTATAATGGAGGAAAATATTCGGCTTGCTCCCCTCGCCCGATTTTTCCTCTTCAATTCTTCTTCTTTTCTTGATTTTTTTTCAATTTTTCAGGCAGTTCTAATTTTTTCTTATTTTACTCTCTGGTATGACGTAAGAGAATCCAATAAAGAACATAAAAGATTCTACATCCGAAGCGATAACTCTCATGTCAAACACTTGTCAGCGCTAGAAGTGAGCTGTCAAACGCTTAGATGGACTACCAGTCAATCAGCAAAAGCTAATGTTTAAATCAAAACTGTAAAATTTGGATTTGTTATTTCCTCGAAAAAAAATCGGGGCGGTATTTTGATAATTTGCCTCGTATGGCACAAAACATTTGCACGCCACCGATTGGAGTGTAGTTCGTAGAAGATGAAAGTCGGGAATTGACTTAAAATTTCAAGAGGCAATTCACTAAAAAGTTGTAGTACTTTTTTCACGTTGTATTACTTTTTCAGCAGCGTTGTATTACTTTTGAGTGATTTGCCCTTGTAAAATTTAGTGGCGATGGGTCAAATCCCAATCTTTTTGTGTGAATTTTAATTCGATGTGTACATTTTTACCTTGTGGATTTTGAGCACTTCTTTAAGGTTGCACAATGTTAATTAATGCACATTAATTTGACTATAAGTTTCAATTTAATTCAACAATAGTCAAACCATCGGTTCACTAATCAATAAAAATTAATTAAATTCGATTGAGCAAACTGAAATCGCCGACGAGACACCATTTTGCAAAACAAAAGCGTATCATTTCACTCAAAATAATAACTCTTCGTCTCAAACAATGTTAATTCTAGTGCGAGATGTCTTTTTTTCGTTACAATTTCAAAAAAAATTCGAATATACTAGGGTATTGACATTATTGCTACTTTTTTTTGCGACCAGCTGCACGAGTTATTTTTGAATACAGACTGTTACGTATTTTTGTGACTTTGTTGATTTATTTGAATGAAAACAAATTCAAGTCGCAATGATGTTAATCGGCATTTTTTCTCTTGAATTTATTGCCATGATTAAATTGTTCAACTAGAATATTCACCTACAGTGTTGTTCTGAAATACAGCAGTCTTTTCAATGTACTATCATGGATCACTTATCATGAAGTAATATTTTGTTTCAAAAATTCAATGTTTTTTTTCCTTTCGATAGACATGTTCATTATGATGATTCTTCTACCCTGGTAAAATACACGTTCTAAAAATATGTTCGAAACTGAATTGTTCATCGATGCAAAGAGCAAATAATTAACAGAAATTGTTTAGCGAAGACTGATAAGCAATTAATGATGAGAGTGCACTGTATGCGCACGTTTTACTTTTTCGACTTATTTTATGCTTTGATAATTTAAGGTCTTAATAATATTTAGTAAATATACTTGTTTGTTTGTTGAAAAAAATGAAGAATTCATTGACTTTATCAGATGTTTGCAAGGGCTATTTTCGTTTTCAATAATAATATATCGTGAATATGCTCTAAATACATGCGGCACGAAACAAAAGCCATCAGTTGAAAAGACGAAGTTGTGAAATTAACTTAAGAACGTTGAAATCAATTTAAAACATTGAAAAAAGACTTAAAATGAGTTTGAAAAGTTTGTTCATAATTTTTGTGATTATCGTAGCCATGACGAACACGTTAACGAGTCAAGTTCTGCCCGCAGTAAAAGTGCCACAATTGCAGCAACCAACAGTTACACAGGCTCAAGTACTTCAACAAACAACATCGCGATTGCCGCAAATACCACCGTTGACGACAACTCCTCAGCTCCCGACATCCCCACAGACACCAAGCTTGCCACAGACACCAAGTCTTCCACAGACACCAAACCTTCCACCGACACTAAACCTTCCACGAACGCCACAGCTCCCGAGATCCCCACAGATACCAGGCCTGCTACAGACACCTAACCTTCCACAGACACCAAACCTGCCACAAACACCAAACCTGCCACAAACACCAAACCTTACACCGACACCAAATCTTTCGCAACCACCGCAGCTTCCCCCAATCACTCAAAATCCAGCAACACCTTTGCCACCCGCTGGCCGTTGTGTTTGTCCTTCAGATTACGCACCTGTGTGCGCTACAGATGATGATATCACATATAACACATATGCCAATGCATGCCTTGCAACTTGCTCAGAATTTGGAGAGTCGAATGTGCGCATAGTTTATAAAGGTCCATGTAAAACTAATCCTGAATGCTTCTGTCCAGACGTATACCTACCAATTTGCGGGTCAGATGGAAAAACATATGGAAATGCCTGCGAATTGAGTTGCAACGAGGGAGTGGCACAAGTTTGCAAAGGTGAATGCAAAATATGTTTAAGAGCGTGCGGTTGTACGAAAGATCGGAACGCAGTTTGTGGTTCAAATGGTATCACTTATGCCAATGAATGTCTACTGCGTTGTGCACAAGAAATCTCGGACGTAGAGAAAGATTGCGATGATGAATGTCCATGTTCAAAACCGTGTCCATGTCCACCCTATATCTTATCACTCATAAAATGTCTGACGGATAAATTAGTCCAGATAATATATTATCTACTCTCTTGTCTCTAAATCTGTGAATTTGCTTTGAATTTATAAAAATAAATGAATGTTTTTTGAGCCTATTCAAGGAAAAGACTTTTTCGTCTACATTTTTTAAATCAGTGATTACGGAGCGCACATTCAGTTCCATTTTCTGTGTCGACGTTGGAGTCATTTTAACACACGTTTGCTCATTCACATATCCTAATCGCGAGATCAATATTCAATGGACACATATGCATGGATGATCACACATTCCATTTTTTACTTTGATTAATGATTATAAAATGATTCTCCCTTCTCGCACAATTCAACTCACATATATCACGGTAAGTAACTCTATCTCTTCCACACGAACATAAATTTCGACAGTGAATTGACGTCAATTAATATGTGGCTCCATTATGGTTATCAGTGCTGCAAGTCAAATTCGGATAATAAATTAATTTTGCAAGGATCTATATCAAAGTCATTTTTGGATACTATTTTTTCAAATGTTGTATCCTACCTTTGCTTAATTGGGCACTTTGTTGAGTTGCATAAAGTTCTCTGTTTATAAATGCTAAATTGATGTTGCAAATCCATTGACAAATGAAAGCAAGACAATTATGGAGTAATCGAAATTGAAACCGAAGAAATTGAAACCGAAAAGGAGATGTTATAGTCCGCTGGAATTTCAACCTTTCTGGAAGATGTCGACAGAATTTATTTTATATAGATTTAAATTTGGATTACTGCAATGCACCAACTGCATGCGCGACTTAGTTTTGTCACTCGTATTCATCTAATTTGGAAAAAATTTAAATGCTAATCCAAACAGATGAATAAGAAAAAAGTGCTGTTCGAAACGAACAAAATTAGAATATATGCCAAATTTTTCCTGTGCTTTCGATTTGTACTCAAAAGCTTTCGAACGAAAAGCCATTTAAAGCACTTGATTAATTACAACAGTTCAAGAGATGTCTCGCATTGTTTTTCATCAATCCTTGGTAGGCTTGTGCTTTGTATAAAAATATCGTGTTTTTTTATATTTTCACCCGTCGTTACTTACTCGTCGGTGATGAGTCGTCGTAAAGTATCAAAAAAGTAGTACAAATGTGTAGAAGGGCTCAAGCATTACCTCCATTGATTATCTTCAATCATTTTTTTTATATAAAAGAAAACTTCTCTTTATCGATCAAATTCTCGATCAAGTCCAAAATACTTCTTCACGGTTCGATTGGAAAGTGTTTTCTGATTCTTTTCGTATTATCTGAATATCACCACAATTAGCCACTTAATCACTTTTCATGTTTTTGTACGAATGGATACCAAAAATATTTTTTTATCGACTTTTCCTCGTATTTTCGACAATAAATGTGTATTTGAATTTTGCATGGAAATAACCTTTATTTGACTAAAGCATCTCAGGCGAATTGAACACGCGCTTCACGTGGCCCATGACGCGAAAAATGTGGAATTCTGATATAATTTCGCATTTTTTTACAGCAGTACATGAACAGAAAAAACTTTCCATTCAGCTCACCATTTGTAGCCTGTAAAGTACCAAATGAAAGCTAGTTCAATTCCCTTCATTTGTTTCCATACAAGAATGCAAAAATATTCAGTGGTTTCATAGGTATAGCGTCTGGCGTATCTGGTTACTTTGGGAACCGATATGTGGTAAAGGGTTAAATCGACTCTCGAAATTCGGTGATTTTCCAGTCGAAGCAAGGCACGTTCTACGCGCTTAACCAGCTTTCGAAGGTGTACTCATAACAGAATCTAAAGAAATGTATATGAATTTGTTTCAACTTTGTTGAAGCGGTCATATTGTTGCTATTCAATAGAAATGGAACCATAGGCCTATGGTTGTATTGGTATTTGGCCATATTGTGTCATAAGACACACAGATGAATTAAATTTACTTCATTGCAACGAATTTCATTTCATTTTTTGTCAATACGGAAACAATAATATTTATCGTCTGGCGCAAAAAGATAAATAAAAAAGACAAATAATTTCGACATTGAAGCGTTCTATTGTCGACCAGCAAACACAATTGTTTTGCTATGCACCAAAATATTTACGAATATTTATTTATAGATTCAATTTGCAGCATTCGATTTTGCTATAAATTGGCTTGTGAACTGAGGATGCAGGTATTCTTTGGAACAGTCAAAGCAGTCATTAAATCCGGTTTATACAGAAATTTTGGTTCAAGTTTTTCGATCAGCGAGAAAAGTAAAGATGAGTTCAATCAATTTGATTATAACGTTTGGAATCGGTTTGATAGTCACGATGATGGTTTGCTCGCAAGACGATTATCCGTGTGCGTGTACCAAGGAATATAATCCCACCTGTGGAAAAGATGGTGTTACGTATAATAATCCATGTTTATTGAGTTGTGCCAACCGCTACAATAATTGCATTGAAGCGATTCATCCGGGGTCTTGTGAAAATGGCTGCCCATGTACACTAGAATACAGTCCCGTGTGTGGTTCAAATGGTCAAACCTACGGCAATGAATGTCATTTTAATTGCTCTGCGGCTGAAGCTCACGATCCCTGCCGAACAATTTTGTACTACGGAGAATGTGCCAATGGAAGTGCTCCCGCGCAAGAATAAATCCACACTTCAACAGTCAACAAATACAACGATTCAATCGAGATAAATGGAATTCTTATGGTTTCAACTTCAAATTTAAAGTTTTTTAACTAGTATATTCTCTTATCTCCAAGATTGTAACAATACAAATTGAAAATAAAAAGCTCGAGCCTTGTGAAGTGAACCTTCTAGAACCAAAGAGTTATTACTCATTACGAATCTCAGTATGAACTACGTTTTATCGCAATAAAAGACAAAAATGATTTGGAATAAATATCTTTGAATGCTACCCACAATAAAATTCACTGTAAACTTAGTAGTCGCAATAACTTAACCGTGAAGTGTCACAGACGCAGTGAGCACACGAACGGGAATAACGCATATATGCATACACATACACACAGTAGGCTGTTAAGTTATTGTGACTATTGAGTTTATGCAAATTTCCTTGTGGGTATTCAATGGATACCAATAGATTTTGCCTTTTTTACACCCAATATTGCTTTTTGTTAGCCAATTTTTTCTCTGTGGGAAACACTGTAAACTGTATCCATTAAACACCTGGTTAACATCTATTCGTTTTCGTTTGCGTCTTTACTTGCATCTTTACTTACCGATGTAATAAAAATACGAACGCATACAGTTGTGAGAATCGTTTTCTATATAGAATTAATAAGATATTGTGCTCAGCTAATTACATATGAACCATTACGACAAACAAATTCCCTCAGAATATTTTAGCTTTAAAGTGCAACAAAAAGTTTTTTTTCATATGGAGTTGTTGTTGTAAACTCTATATAAAAAAAATTCATGTTGCACTTTGAAACTAAAAAAATGCTGAGGGAATTTGTTTGTCGCAATGGTTCATATATGTAGCGAATTACTTCTGTATTCGTATTTTGTGGGTAGGTTTATATCCAGAACTGCACAAATAATATAAATGCATGAATACATTGCCTTAAATTAATGAGTCATGTGTTGATGAAACCGAAGCAATAACATGTTTTTAATTGATCGTGTCAGAATAAAAACAACGTTGGACATGCACACGTATTGAAGTGAAGAATAAAAAAATTTGCATAACAAAGCGAATATTTGTATAACAACATTTGTTATTACATGAATGCGAAATTCCGCAACTGACCGCAATACAGAGCGGTCAACGAGCGCTCGTTCGTTCGTTCGTATGCGAACATGTTCGTTTGTTCGTTCGTTCGTTCGTAGAATTTACGAACATGTTCGTTCGTTCGTTCGTTCGTTCGTAGAATCTACGAACATGTTCGTTTGTTCGTTCGTTCGTTCGTAGAATCTACGAACATGTTCGTTTGTTCGTTCGTTCGTTCGTAGAATTTAATTACCCTTAAGTACGTACTTAACATACTTGAGTTTAATTACGTGACTTGAGACGTAATTAAACTCCCTTAAGTACTTACTTAGCATACTTGTTAACATACGTACTTAAG